GCGTTCCTGGAGGGATTCTACGAGATCATCCCCAAGCGCCTCATCTCCATCTTCACGGAGCAGGAGCTGGAGCTGCTCATCTCGGGGCTGCCCACCATCGACATCGACGACCTCAAGGCCAACACCGAGTACCACAAGTACCAGGGCAACTCCATCCAGGTGGGATTGGCACCCAAAAAACCTCCAGGGGGGCTCTGGGGGTACCCACAGTACCAGGGAACTCCATCCAGGTGGGACTGGCCCCCAAACCCCATGGGGGGCTCTGGGGGTACCCACAGGTACCAGGACAGCTCCATCCAGGTGGGACTGGCCCCAAAACCCTATGGGGGTGGGTTCTGGGGGTCTGATGGTACCCACAGGTACCAGGGCAGCCCCATCCAGGTGGGACTGACCCCAAAACCCTCCAGGGGGTTCTGGGGGTCTTATGGTACCCACAAGTACCAGGGAACTCCATCCAGGTGGGACTGGCCCCCAGAATCCTCCAGGGGGGTTCTGGGGGTACCCACAGTACCAGGGCAACTCCATCCAGGTGGGACTGGCTCCCAAAAAACCTCCAGGGGGACTCTGGGGGTCTGATGGTACCCACAGGTACCAGGGCAGCCCCATCCAGGTGGGACTGGCCCCAAAACCCTATGGGGGGGGTCTGATGGTACCCACAGGTACCAGGGCAGCCCCATCCAGGTGGGATTGGCTCCCAAAAAACCTCCAGGGGGACTCTGGGGGTCTGGTGGTACCCACAGGTACCAGGGCAACTCCATCCAGGTGGGACTGACCCCAAAACCTTCTGGGGACTCTGGGGGTCTGGTGGTACCCACAGGTACCAGGGCAACTCCATCCAGGTGGGACTGGCTCCCAAAAATCCCCCAAACCCTATGGGGGGGGTCTGATGGTGCCCACAGGTACCAGGGCAGCCCCATCCAGGTGGGACTAGCCCCCAAAATCCTCCAGGGGGGCTCTGGGGGTCTGGTGGTACCCACACAGGTACCAGGGCAACTCCATCCAGGTGGGACTGGCCCCAAAACCCTCCAGGGGGGTTCTGGGGGTCTGATGGTACCCACAGGTACCAGGGCAGCCCCATCCAGGTGGGATTGGCTCCCCAGCCCCCCTTCCTGGGGTTATTTTGGGGTAGTTTCAGGGGTCTCACGGTACAGGAGGTACCAGAGCAGCCCCGTCCAGGCGGGTTTGCCCCCCCGGGGTGGGTCTGGGGGTGATCCCGGGGGTCTGACCGTGCCCCCCACCCCCCAGATCCAGTGGTTCTGGCGGGCCCTGCGCTCCTTCGACCAGGCCGACCGCGCCAAGTTCCTGCAGTTCGTCACGGGCACGTCCAAGGTGCCCCTGCAGGGATTCGCTGCCCTCGAGGGCATGAACGGCATCCAGAAGTTCCAGATCCACCGGGACGACCGGTCCACGGACAGACTGCCCTCGGCACACACGTGGTGAGGGGACGGGGGGGACACAC